GAGTGTATTAGGATAAATCACGAACTGGTTTTGGTAATCAATCATAAATTGAGCCGCGTCACGCGTTGCACCGCATGTACCCCAGCTTAATGTGGCTTATGTGCACGGACACGCGATCGTTAAGCGCGTTATTCAGTTGACATTCGAGGGCCAGGACCATGGCATTGACTAGCCTCGTTCACAACACGTTGCTGGGCACAGTGACCTGCAATAATCGAGGGGGCACCCCTAAATGATGCAGTAGAAAGAGGAAAAGCTGAAAGGCCATTATTCTGACCGATATGAACGTCCTTTGTGTCATGTCACCGAAGAGAACAAAGGTCATGCACTGAAAGCGGAATGCACTACCGTCGTCTTTCTAGAAAATACCTGGCCGCATACGGAATGCAATGCGAAGAAAGCGTGCAAAGTTAATAAAATAATGATGACGTGGGCGTTTTCCGCCAGAGATGCGTTGATGCTGCCATTGATGGGGTTATGAGCCCGAATATTCCGAATACCCGAGCCCGAAAAGAAAAAAAGGGTGTCTATTACTCGGTATCCTTCCGGGAAGATCACTTACGAGTATGAATGATGTCAGGACTCGGGAAGCGAGGCATCAAGTTATCTAAATGGAACAGCAGAGCCTGCGAAAAGAGCTGCGCAAGCGAGGTGCGAGTGGTATGTGTATTTTGGGATCGGAAATAACAAAGACAAGGGGACAAACTTCCAACAATCTGATGCGGAATATAGTAGAGGCCATCCCATCAAATCGTTTGTCGGTGAATTGCTAAGACGATGTCTTGAGATTCTGGGGATCATTGCTGAAGTAAGGAGGGTTAGTAAGTTAAGTGACCCTGGTATGCCCTGACTTAGTAAGCGCCAGTGAGGCCGAGGGGCGTCGTACGTGTGTGGTGGTCAAGGAGAGAATTACCCATGTGACCCACCTGGTGCCGAGGCCGAAGAGAGGACATCGATAATTGGGACGAGGGGGGAGGATTCGGAGTTTGGGGCGAGGGGATAGCCGAAAGGAGCCAAAAGATGCGTCGGTGGTGCGAAGTGTACGGGGCGCTGTGGGGCGGCGAGGTACGCTAGAAGACGTATGTTGGTACGGTATTGGCGCCTCAGGTGAAATAGTAAATAAAGACCGGAGTGGATTTCTTGTTCTATTCGGGCACGGGTACGGATGGAGGTGGGTGGCAACTTGGCAAGGGTGGTGGGGGCGAGTGCCAGAAGTGGGAGAGAGCGAATGGATGGTTGAGTCAGAGATGAGAAAACGCCGAGATGAGATGGCCCCGATTACAACCAGATACCGGGAACCTGGCCCAGCGATGCCTCTAGCCTGTAGCTGTAGCGGTTCCTTTCCTCTTGCTCTATAAATCTCCATCCCGATGTCCCGTAAGCTTCCCCGTCCCCACCCTCACCTTCACCCTCATCCTCTCTCCCCGGCCCATCTTTACAAATGTCTCCCACCTTCCAGTACGATCTCCCGATGCGCGTATCTCATTCAACATCTCCCGCACCTAAGCGCCACTTTTCTCATCGTCGCCAACCAAGAGTGGCAGACGTCTCTCGCATCCTCGACCCTTCATACCTATCCTCCTCGGCTTCATCCTCGCCGACCTCCGTCTATGCGGATACCAATGGGATTCTCCACGATCCAGATTACCGCCACTTTCCCACTGTGGTCGCTCCTCGCCGTCCCGCCTGGGAGAGCGGCGGCAATGACAACGAAGTAGATATCGAAGACTTTGACGAACACGCTCGCCTCCGTAGTGCATCTCCTCGCGAGCGTCGCCGTGCACGCTACTCTGCCTACGAAAAGTCCTTACCCTACGCCCGCCGCTCCCTTGAGGAGGCCATCGGGGAACGACGGCACCAAAACCCCATCCGCTACAAACGCCGCATGAGAAGCCACTCTCCCCATTATGAGATCACTCAGATGGAAGTTGACGAGCCCGACGTCGTTCCTCGGGCGCTCAAGCACGAGCAGTACGTGCCAATGCACCAGGAGGTACCTGACTGGACGTGAGTCATCCTTTGTCCCTTTACCTTTCATAAATCTGACTCACGGGACCCCACCAGCCCCACATGCGGCCAGCAGTTCCGTCGCCAGTGGCAAGCATTCACCCTCGGTGTTCGCTTCTCCATCTTCCGCGCACAAAGAAGGATCAGACGGAAATTCGCGTAACCCAGACCCCATCATCACCATCTTTATCATGACATCGTCTATGCGACATCGTCTTCTATGGTTTCGACCACGGCTATCGACTGCCGTACATGCTAGCTGGGAGCAGCAACTCGGCCGCGGCACGAGCGCTCCTGGCATCGTGCCACCTCCACACCTCTGTGCGTAGGTGCCATGCCCATTCAACTGGCCTCTTCCCCTTTGTTCCACAGTATCGCCTTCCATACCCATGTCATACTACATACGGTCCTGGTTCACGTTCTGTTATCTCCAACATATGGTCACCTCTAGCTCCCATCTTCGTCATTCAAAGGCACATGCACTTGCACCTTTTACCCTTGCGCTTCGATTGATTCCCCCAGCTCCACACGTCGCTTTTTCATGACCTCACGTTTTCTGATGATGAACCGATTTTTTTATATGTACGAATTTCCCGAGAAGTTGTTTTACCCGAATGTATCGAGGGCACAATGATGCGAACCTCGCGTTGCTACACGATGAACTAAAGAAGTTGTTTTACCATTATGATGAAATCAGTGATGCATGAGCCCAACCGTTTGAGCGATTTATAGAATGCGTAAGTCGAATTGCAGCGTTTGTCGAGGATTCGTCCGATTATGCGTGCTGTCTGCAACTCATCGGTTCGCTGAGGAACGGCAGAGAAACTCGTATCGGGAGATCTGTTCAGCGCCGGCGTACGGAACGGTGGCATGCTGTGCCACCGCAGAGAGCTCACTCCGGGCACTGAGAAGATCGATGGAATAGGACAAAGGGGTATATACAAGGCCGTGCCATCCTCTCTGATGGGCCTGTCCGCGCAGCCTCGCCTCGAGTCGAGTCAGGTCCCCATACCACGTTCCTTACAGTTGGGGTTAGGGCGCAACGGCCTCGCACCCCGATTTTGGTTATTTTTTTCGTGTCGATGCAGAGGCGATGTGCCGCGTGCTGCGGGAGAAGACCGACAAGGCCGGACTGAGAGAGGGGGAGGTGAGCCATCTAGAAAACCGCCACACTTCCGCGTCAGCGCACGGATGGACGGCTGACACCCTGGCGAACACCCCCCAGACGGACACATGCGGGGTAAGCGCCCCCTGCGGATTGGCTGCGCACTGCGGGCGTAATCGGTAAGCTGGTGCTAAGCCAACGTCGGTAAGCGCTTGGGTCCAAGCCCGCCTCGTTCCGCACCGACGTTCGCATCTCGCCAAAAAAAAAAAATACCATTAGCAGAACAAAGAATCACTACAGCAACCTTTGCGTCGTTACAACGAACACGACGAAGCTGGCGATTACTGTAGGACCCTTTGATGCCGGATGTGAAAAGGTATGGTCTTATTGGGCAGGATGTCGTCGTTGCGTGCGAAGTAGAAGGACCGCGAAGAACACGGACGCGGGTCGGGCCGTCCTTTCGGGGCGGAGCGAGGGTCGTCGGTAGCAACGACCCGAACGAGCTGCCCCCCCAAAAACTAACCATCTCGCGGCGGCGGGGCTCGATGCGGAGACTGGACAGCAGATAACTGAACATTGGGACAACCCCACCGGAGACGACCGTGATGCGTTGCTTTTCGCGCTCCGCCCCGCGCTGCTTTCACATGTGAAATATCATCTTCAACAATTGTGGGCCTGTCGCTATCAAGAGGAGCTAACGAATATTACCACAAGTGGTATTCAATCACGGAGTTATGTGGGCTACACTCTTCTGGACGTTCTGGATGTGATTCTTTTCCAGATTGTACGGAGGTCGAAGTTCAATTCAGTCGAGTATGTACTAGGGGACGATGGGGAAGGGTGAGGGGCATCCAAGCTTTCAAAAATATCACGCGGAAAGAAGCGGGACCCAGAGGGACCAGAGTGGAGCATCGTCGGGACATGCGATCAACAGCCTGACTGACCTGCAAATTGTGGGTAGGTAGTACAGATCGAGCGAAGGAGCGCTCAATCGACGCTCAAGCTGCCATATGTTTAGTCAAGACGAATTAGCAACCTTCAACTCGAGTCATCGTACAATGGTGAAGAGCTTCGCAGTCGCACAGCATCCCCCCGGTGAAAAGAACGTTTAAATCCAATTGTGACTCATGAGTCCCCTGAGCCCACCCACTTCGATAGATATGGAAATATGGAACTTGGGTTCGTGGTATTTTCCAGTGGAACTTGCAGGTCCCATGATAGCGCGATAGCGAATGTGCGCTCCGGAGCTTTCATCCAACGAGGGCTGGGGCTGACGAGTTCGCGGAACTTACCACATTGAGTGAGCGAGGCGTTTGCCTAGTGCTTTTCCTGCCCAAATGCCCTAATGGGATGAAATGGGAAAAAGGTAAATGCGTGCAGATGGTCGGCGTAGGCAAGTCACATGCCAACCTTCCCCCCCAGACGGCTACATGTTATCGGTCGGTTTCTCGACAAGGCGTGAGAACAATACGATCACGCTGGAACGACTCGGAAGTCGCGAAATGGCCAATCTTCGCAGGTGCGAAGGGAAGTTGCTTTCCAGCGCAATTGTCCAGCTGACCAGAAAGGGTAAAAGTAGTCCCAATGATCAGTCATCTCGTTCAATCGCAATCGGCTTTCATGATGAGCGAGATAACTTCTTGGTAATTCACAGTGGCTCCCGCCTGCTGTCGCCTGCGCGTCTAGATTTGTCATGTTCAAGTTACGGGCTCGGTCATTGCGGCTTCTTGGAAGTTGAGGGGAAGGGGTAACTCGGCATACGCACCGATGAGGTGGGATGGGGATTAGTGGGCAGGCGGCCCAGCTGAGGAGACCGGAAAGATTCGGAAACGATACACTTTTAAGTTGAAAGGAAATTTGCCATGTATGATTACCGAAAAAAGCTTTACTGCCCCAGTGAGGCTCGAACTCACGACCTTCCGATACCGCAATCGTTAACAGTCGGACGCTGTAACCAACTCAGCCATGGGGCATACATAGAAGTACCAAATGAAGAAAATTATCAACCAAAATTTACAGCTTGACCGAGGCGCCGAGTGATCTGCTACCTTTTGCGAGCCTTGGCAAGATGACCACTCTTATGAACGGCATCAAGTCACAACGATCACAACGAAGCGACCGGTTCTGGTTTTACGATGGCTCCGTCCTTGTCAGCTTAGCGCCGTTGGTGTATAAGGTCCACAAGTCGATCTTTGATCGGCATTCATCCAAGTTCGCACTTTGGCTACTTGATGTTGAGGATCCGGCCGCTCTTGCGTTATCGAGGGCCATCGACCACGCGGGAACTCCGGTGATAGTGATTCCGAGCGACATGGACATTTCGGTCGAAGACTTCGAGGCGCTGTTAGCACACTTGTACCATGACTCGTAAGCGCGTTCGACACTGGTCGCGCCTTACGACACCATCGTGGGTGAACCTAACCTACCATTACAGTCCACTAAGACGTGAGAGCCCTTTCCCTCAGCTTGCCCGCGTGTTGCGGGTGTCATCACCCCGCCAACTCGATGTAACTTCAATCTTCGAGTTGGCAAAGGGTGACCTTGCCACCCTTTTCCCCGGCGGACCTATCCCGTTCGCGCATTTACATCGGGTTGAACATCTGGAAGAGGGGTTAGAGCTCGCTCTGCAGCATGATGCCGATTTAGAGGTAGTATTGGCACAGTCGTGGCGGCATCAACGTCACTAATCGACCTCCCCCCCCGCAGACCAAGAAAGCGTTGCTTTACAGTGTTGCCACGTCGACCAATTTCGACCCAAAGAGCCAGTATGACCCCTCCGGTCCAGATACTCACGGTGACGCATCAGGTGCAGGTGCACCGCACCCCGCCCTTTCTCCCCGCACACTTCGCATCTGCCATCGTTTGCTCTCCTCGCTCATTGCGGTTTTTACCCCAGTTCTATTCACTGTCGGTGCAGCATCGCACATGCAATGCACGGACGCACTCGCGGACTACTGGATGAGCGACATAATCGCTCCCGCGCTCGCCGATGGTGGCGTGGGGCGTCCCCTTGAGACCCTTACACGCATCGCTTCTCAGTCTTGGAAAGAGAGGGGCGTTTGCGAAGAATGCGTCGAGAGTAAGAAAGTAGAGTGGGGTGATACGGCGAAGGATATCTGGGAGAAAATCGGTGGATGGGTAGAAGAGGCAGAGAAGGAGTTCCGCAGGGACTAGCGTGTGGATGGCCAAGGGATGAATTCTACAATATTGCAGTGTGAATTTCACCAACTGTCTCCTCACACAATTCCGTTTTCTCGAAGATGGGAGATGCGCTCCACATCATATCCCAATTCGCTTAATACCTGCTTGCCACCATGAGCCATCCGATTGAGTAGACGACAGATACGGCCGCACCTCGTCAGTATGCTCGGAGAGCCACGGTGGGGGTCTGTTTACCGGCATCTTCTTCCCGTTGTAAGTGACGGCAGGCCCGACTAGTTTGATCTTTCCAGCGCGCGGGTGCTAGGGGGAGAACTGAGTGGCGGAATTATGACGGAAGCTGGAGTCCGTACTTCAACTTCTACAACAACACCACGTGCAATAGCCTGGGGGTGCTCGAATGTCTGCTGGATACTGTTAATGGGGCCATATGGAACCCTTAGACCTATCAGTGTGGGCCAAGTAAGAGCCAGAATCCGCACTTACCCGAGCCCGTCGAATAACTTCAGCCAATGACTCAGCGAATTTTGCATGAGTGTATCTGTGATTATCTTCACTAGTAGTTCACGATTTGCCACTCTTGCACCATTTGTACTAAATCTGGTATCATTTGCTAGCTCGGGTTGACTGAGGACTTTATCTGCGAAGAGTTTAAACTGCGTTGTAGTGTGGGTTTGGGTCGGGGCAAGTAGAAAGGCGAGTGATCACACCTGCTTATCGTTTCCGGCACCAATTAAAATGTGACCATCCTTGCAAGGGAATACTTGGTAAGGTACAATTGACGGATGGGCCGTGCCGTGTCTACGGGCTTCTTTTCCCGCGATGAGATAGTTGGACGCAATGTTCGCAAGGCCCGCGATCTGGTCTCGAAGGTTAATGTATTATCAAAACTCTTCGTCGAAGGAGACGCGCCTGTGACTCAAATAGATTGCAATCTATCCATACACCCTTCCCCGTCTTCTGCCGGGAGATGAGGGCGGCCATGATGGCACCATGGGTGTACAAGCCGGTTGAGATGTCAGTCACGGCGACACCAACTTTGGAAGGCGGTCGGTCAGGTTCCCCTGTTCTGGGGGCCATTCGTTTAGAGAATAGGCCAGTCGCCGCTGTTGGCAGTGTTCCTCACATATGCATAAGCCCCGCTTCTCCCTCAATTACGACATCATAACCCGCCGCTGTTCGATAAGGACCTGTTTGTCCATAGCCTGGGGACCATCAACATGAACGGAGGGTGTGAACACGCGGGGAGTAAACGTACCGGTGATTGAGGCGTAAATTAATCTGTTATTAATGGAGCTACAATCCCCATAACCGAGTCCCATGGAATCCAGCTTGCCGGGTATAAAGTTCTCAACCAGTACGTCCGCCCTCGCAACGAGCTTACGCAAAATTTCCAGCCCCTCAGGGTTTTTAAAATTGACAGTAATGGAACGTTTGTTTCTGTTCACTGCGAGAAAATACGCGGATTCCGGAGGGAGATGGGAAGAGGCCTTTGGCGCGGTTTCAGAAAGGGGAGCAGCGGGTTGGTTCCATGAACCTGTGTTAAGATAGTTGGCGAATGCGAGGGGGCGGTGGACGAGATACTCAACGTGTATCGTCACCACGTTTTATTTCCTCTACTTTTATAACGTCTGCGCCGAGGTCGGCTAGGAGCATCGTTGCCATTGGGCCAGCAAGAACGCGGGTCAAGTCAAGAACGCGAATTCCCTTGAGTGGTGGCTCGATGCCTGCAGCAGCCACATTTAAAGAGAAATTCCTGCGAGCCAGAGAGAGAGACCGAGACAGTCGTAACATATCCTGGACGACGACCGGCCCGGTTCTGTGGCCCACTTTGAGCACACCCGCCCATCACCACCTCATCCTCATGCCCGCGATTGACTTGACGGATCTATTCCCTTCGACATCTTATCGTCTCGCTTACGCTCTTCCACTTCTTGTATTATCCACTCTCCTTGCATTTGCTGGTTCTTTCTTTACGCTCGACCGCACTCGTTCCTTTCGTCCTCGTAGCGATCCTTTACATGTCCCTGGGTCCTTCAGCCTAACGAAGAATCCGAGACGCATTCGTCTTTATCTGCAGGGTGGCGTTGGTGGCCTCGCCATTGGTTATTCATTCGGGCGTACGTTCGTCTACATCCCTGTTTAGTGCTACAACGGTTATTGAAATCTCCTCAGTCCATTTATCCACGTTTCTTGCGCTAGTGTTTCCTAATGGATCGTCATCCCCACCCCTAAGTCCAAAGTCCTTTCTTGGCCGTCTGGGTAATTACCTCCGTTTCTCTCGCCATCTTCTCTGGCCTCTTCAAATATGCTGCACTCGCACTCGCGGGCATCACAGGCGGGTACGTAAAAGTCTTGGCATATAGTTATCAATCTTATCGCGTCCCTCTCTTAGAACCTCTCTGGCGCTTGCTCTCTCCATCACAATTCATCCCAATCTTTTGACACGACGTATCTTCCTTGCACTTCTCGCAGCAATCTGCTGTGTCTTCGCCCTACTCCCTTTCTCCCGCACCCAACGTAATTTCATTCGCCTGTCTGCTTCCGCGACCTGGGGCATTTGGCTTGATCCTATCAATTGCTCTGTTAGCGCACGCCCAACAGTGGTCGAACGTTTGGGAGCGCTTATGGGTAACAGATGGGAGCGGGTGGGGTGATGGTGTCGAACGAGCTCTTAGCGCTGGCTATTGGCTCATCCTCGTGGCTGGATGTTTAGTAGATTGGGCACTGAGAAGGTATTTCGGGGGCAGTCCTGATGAGGTATTTTTCACGTCTGTGATCTTGAATCGGATCTTTGACCCAGCCGATGTAGGAATGGGACTCTTACCTCACAGAGTATGCCACCTCGCTTCCCATGGCCCGTGATCGTGCGGGCATCTTTCAGCCACTTTCGTACAGTTCCTGGGATCGACTCCTCCCTTGCCTCCGTCGGTCAAAACCATCTAATGCACCCGACCTCTTGTTCCCTCCGGACGATAAGTATACCCTTTCTCCACACATGTCTTTGGAACACAATCGTCAAGCCTTCTCCCCGGGGCGACCGGCGGTCCAACAAACCTTTAGTTTCGATGAACCACCCCGTCTCCTGCGAAAGCAGACTCAACGTCCTCTCGCTCGCCTGCGCGGGTTGGCCAGCGCGGAGAGTCACGGCTACCGCAAACGTGAGGCGTTAAAGTTTGGTGCGATGGACCCCAGTGATCTCAGCTCGGACGAGGATGATCCTTTGTCTTCCCCTCCACCACCTGCTCGTCGTGCCTCAACACGATCCAGCAGCGCGACGCTTACCAATGGGTCCAGCGAGGGCTCTCGGCGCATCTCCCTTGGAAAAGAAAGTTTAGCCGCCGCCAAGCGTGTTGCTTTGGAAGCCAACGATGCTAGCGCACCGGAGTATTCTGACCATGAGGAAGATGTGATCAACTCCAAGACAGAGACAACGGACCATCGCAATTCGCCGGGTTGGAAGCCGCCGTTTATCGTGCGGAACGGCTCGAACACCGCGAGCACTGCGGAACCCGTCGCAGCTGTACCAATGACACCGTCCCTCATCCGTGCGGTCGATCGTATTGAAGCAGCTAAGGTCCAAGCGTATGGCTCTCCAACTCCTGTAGACTCGACCGCGGCCGCAACTACTCCCGATACCGACACCGCTGGGACCAGTCCAGCAAGGAAACAACGATGGGAGGCCTTCTGGCATGATGTGACTTCTAAAGCAGGGCAGAAAACAAACACGCGGTAATCATCACTACGCACTGTTCGTTTTGCTCTTTCGTTTTTGTCTCTTTTTTTTACGACCGATTCATGACCACTTTTGATG